TTTCACTTATGTTAAACCAGCTGCTGTCTTGCAAATCAGTCCAGAAACACTTGAGTTCAATTCCAGTCTGACTTTGAACTTCTCTGTGAGCTTCAGAGAGAAATTTCATGCTTTGACAGCAAATAACTTCTCTTTCATAATCATTTGCTGTGTTTCACATAGGATATCTGCTTTTCATTAGAAACAAAAAAAAAGTAAATATATTAGAAATGAGTAAAACTGTAATTCACCAATGGCTACTTTTTGGAACAATACTGTCTGGCTTCTACAGATGTTCACCTATTTACACCGATAACAAATTTGGCCTGTTGTGGCAATGCATCTTTGGCGATATTACAAGTGATTAAGTGCTAGTGCTGATGTTATCAGAAGGTAGAAATGCAGAGACCTTTATTGCACTCTCCCCAACAATTAGGTCACACATCATAGATCCTTTCTGCTTCCTCATATGCATAATCCTTTGAGACAAAGTCATTGGGGAGTTTGCCAGCACAGCCTAATGTATAGTGGTCTGGCTGCTTAGGGATGGGTCTCAAGAGACTCTGAACACCTCAGCTTTTGCTTGGGTTAAAGGCTTTTTGCAAAGTCTTTGCATGAAGCAAGTCTGAAGATCCAGCATTCACCTAATACAAGTTACATCCACCCCCTGTGGCAATGATAAGGGAGAGGGTGTATCTTAATTTCAGATTTAAAAAAAAGACCACTGTTCACCTGACAGATAAATGCTTATTAAGATGGCTGTGCTTCAAGTGCCAAAGGTTCAGATATTTTTCTATGAAGACATGAGGTTCTGTAAGCAAAAACAGAAGTCCAAGGCTTCTATGCCCAGGCAAAGGACATTTTTATGTGTATTTAGTTAGTTTTGCATCACTAGAAAATTGTGTTGAAATTATAGTAAGTTGAAGCAGAGTTAGTTAAAGCTAAGTGTGAATAGGTGAGATGTTCCCCTGTATATTCAGGTGTTTGATTTCAAACTTTGAAAGGGTTTGTACCAAATGATTTTCACCACCAGTTCATCTTGGTCCAGCTATAAATTGGCATGGGGATTTAATAGCCTACAGAATCTGGTATATCCACCTTATGTAAGACCAATGGACTAACAGAATATTAGAAATTGCCTTGAACCAAGCATGACATAGTGAAATAAACATATTACCGCATGTGTAAAACTACACACACACACACACACCGCCCCCCGACTATTATATTTTTTCACTCACTTGTTCTGATTAAATGTTTTTAGTTATGTAAAATATTATTATTTAGTCTGTCTCTAAATACACCTTTAACGGCTTCCTGCACAGCTGATATAAGTTAGTATGATTCAATCCATGCTGATGGAGTTATGCTGACTTCTTTCCTTAGGAGTCCTCCTCTTGCTAAACACAGTGAGTAATGCAGAAGTTCCCATGGTGAACAACACTTGGGTTCAGATGCCCTTCTTCTCAGCAGCATGTTACATTCCTTGAAGACTGCAGACTGTCCTGGGAAGTGGGACTAATCCAGAAGAACATAGCGGGAAGCCAGAGAGTTGAATGTAAATGCCCTTTCATGTCCCTTTTTTAAGTTGTGGCTACAGTAGTATTTTAGTTTTGATCAGGGTCATATATTTGCAGTGAATTCCACAGCTATCCCTGTAAGCCACGTTTTGTTCTCAAAATGCCACAAACTTAATTCTTAGCAGATGAAATTAAGATGAAAGATGTTTTCCAGAAGCTGAACACAAGCTACTTATTGGATGTCCAACAGAGAGTATCTGAACACAGGCAGATCCTCCATAATGCATATAGAGTGGACATCAGCTCATCAGCATCAACTGTTCTGCTGTGCTGATACTCACATATTGCTCTATGCCAATTACTAATATAGACAAAACCCAGGCCTTTTCAATTTCTGCCCTTTGAAGAATTAATTATTTGATCTTGTAGACTAATAAAACCTAGTGTTTCTGAGTTTAAAACCCCTTAGGTCTTCTTGAGGATCTTCACTGTAGACAAGGTTTCAGCAGATCTACCTTAAAGTTCTGGTCAGCTTAGCACCGTTTTACAGCTTGTGTTTGAGTATTCATCATCCACTGTGGGTCAAATCCAAGCATCCTTCAGTTAGTCATGTTCTGAGTTGTATTTAAAGCCCCCTCTCCCCTCTTCCAAATTCAGGGTAGTAGGATTGCAGTTTTAGCTTAGCTAAAGAGAGAAATTGAGGTGTAACTTTTTCAGTCTCTCATTGTGAGATGTCTTTGCAAAATAAATCACAGTGGGTTTAAAATGCTAATATTGCTCTAATTTAAGATCTCTTGTAGTAATAATAATTTGTTAACTTGTAAGTAACAATACAAAAGCAACATGATGACTTTGAGTTATGATCTGGGATTTCCATCACGGAGACATCAAGATAAATGGAAGATAATCTATTCAGATAATTTTATTGATGGCAAACTCTAATCCTCTTTAACCTAAAAGCACTCATTTGGTAGAGTCTATTGTTAGTGAAATGTCATAAGTGCTTAAATAATAAATACAGTAACCCCATTTTATAGAGAAAAAAACTCACAGAGTATCAGTTAGTGATAGGACAGCTTTTAAATTTACAGTATTTTATTTTGGTTTACCTAAATGTTTAAATCCAGAAGTTTAGCTGCCTATCCAAAGAGAGGTAAAACATTCTTTGATGTAGAAAACAGACAGACTACCAGGTGAACTGACCATCCTGGTCCCACAGTTTTGGTGTATTGTCCTCACAACCCTCAGCCACAGCTTAGTGAAAGCATGCATAAAAGTGAGAAAAAAAAGGTTAAACGTTATGGTCTGGTTTCGGGCAATTTTATTCTTGCTGCTTGTGTTATCTGGCCTCTGGTATCTATAGTTGCTGCTATCAGGATATAAGAGAAGGAAGTGCAGCAAGAGACTGTGCAGGGATACTGGTTGGACCAGTAACCTACACTAATTTGGAGCATGCTACTTTCCAGTACCTTCCTTCTCTGTGGAAGGGGAAGGATGTTCCAAAAGGAACTATGGGGAAATACTGAAGACCAATGCACAGAGCAGTAAGTCTCCACTTGTAAAAAGCTAGTCATGTGAAACACATTTAAAGACTTTTAAAATTTCCCCTCATCTATGTTCTAGGTTCAGAGCATTTTCTCACTTGAATATTGTAGCTGTGCTTGTGTTTTGCCCAATCTATAAGCAAAGCTATCTATAAGGAAAGAATTCCCTCATGAACAAGAATATTCTTTATTTCCCTGCTTAACAGGTTTTAGTCATGCAAAGTCATATCACACCACAAATAAAATGGATTGTGTAAAAAAATAAATCACAGGCTGCCCTGTAGTTGCAAATAATTTGCATGAAGTGTGCATGAATACTTACGGACAAAAATTATACATTTTGAAAATGCCCTTATAAAAATGTATTACAGAAAAAAAACCCCCAAAACCCTAAATTGTGTCTGATAAACTCTTTTCCAGTTTATCCTAAGGTATTCTAAATACCTTAGAAATCTTTGCTCACTGAGATGTTATGAGGATTAACCTGGTGACAGCAATACAGCAATTTGGGAGCTAAGTGTAAAACACTGTTGGTCAGATTCCAGCCCGTTGAGCGCTCTCTTTCCTGGGTGTAACTGCATTAATTTCAATAAAAGTACTTGCACAGCATATCACTTCTCAGCATAAAGAATTTAGTCATGGCAGAGTCTAATCTCTGATTTTTCTTCAACTGGTTTGCCTTTCCCAAAGAACAGCAATGACTTAATCATGATTACCTATGCACTTAAATTCAGAGTACAGTGTAATAGTGAGAAGACAAAAATTACTCTGTTTACTGTGTCAATGGTGCTATCATTATTGTACCATTGAAATTTTTGGGAAGTTTTAGTAATACCCTTGCTGCACTTAGTGAATATTAAAATCGAGAGCTTTCTGCTCTACGTATAGAAAGAGTTAGTTCTGTAAAATGCACTGAATTTGGATAAATTTTATGTTAAAAAATGTCAGCAAAGTCACAGTCAACCAATATATAGACAAGCACTGTACAAAATTCTTTCATGTGCTCCTGCCCATACATATCTGACCTTTAAATATTCCCATTATTTTAGTCTGGTACTCCACCTACTCAAAAATGACAGCAGAGTCAAACTAATCAGGCTAGGATTATAGGCAGATTTTCTCCTGGGAATTACAGAGCAATAATAAGGTATTCTATAAAAGATAAAGAGATATAATGATTAATAGCATGGATATGGATAAAGATCTTCCAACTTTTGGGGAAGCAACATACAGTAAAGGAAATCCCACTAACACAGCACGTTCTTTCAGGCTGCTAGCTGCTGCTTAAAAAAAAAGGAACCATTTTCATGGCAACTCACCGTTTCACTGTTACCAGCCACATTTGAGTTGTGAACTCGTGGTGGAATCCACTGCTCATAGTTTATCACCTAGATGGTAAGAAAAGTAAAATTAAAAACCCTCAACGTAAATGAGATGAATAAACATAATTAGTGTTGTGTCACTGAATACAGATTGAGAGCTCAGCAGTCTTTCAACCCAGTACTGTGTGCGTATAAAAGCAATGGCTGACATACTCCAGCTGACACCCGTTGAAATCAGTTTGATATTGTCTTAATGTCTTAATTTCCTTAGTTATCTGGGGGACTCAGTAATATCTTGGAGTTATCACAGTGTACGTGGTGCAGCGGCAGAGCCATGCATTATATCATGGGATGCTTGAGTCTCATCCTAGATCTTGGCTCTCCTTTCTCAAAGAGCAGGAAAGCCACAGAAGACTTTCCTCATCAGCAACCCCCAGCTGAGGAGCAAGTGTCATTGATGCATTTCTAAAAAGCGTCTTGTTCAGTTCACCTCATTTTGCCTGGGACGTTGAGCCCCAGGGGTGTGGGTTTGAATTGGATTAACAATGCAGAGAAAATGGGAGGATCCTCAGAACTAAGCAAAGACAAGTCTATATACACTTTCATCATCTGCCCATAATCCATTTCTTGGTCACAATGTACTCGTGATAGGAACACCATGAGAATACACTTTCCCTGGGGTACTGATGCAGTCCCTAGTGGGCAAGCCTGACAGTGCTTATAGCTTATCAGTGAAAGTAATGAACACTAGCCTTTTTTCTTCATGAATATGAATGACACTTTGAAGGCTGAATGCAACCTAAGAATTTACGTGAGAAATGAGGCATGAAACATTTTTGAAAATGTATTAGCCCAAAGACTGTATTACTTCATGTTTTATGTCCTTCCCAATATGCTACAAAGGGTTTGAGCCATCAAGGGAGCCCTGCTAGACATGAACAAACAAGAACAAAGGTATGCAGAAAGTGAAGCTATTTTTTATAGTAAGGTACAATTATTAAAGTGTTGCTCATGCTATGTTCCTCAACCTGTAGTTTTGTTCCAAGCCCCTATTTTCCAGAGCTTACAGAATGAATGGAATTAAATGACCATCTATTTAGGAAATGGAGAGGGATTAAAGTTTTTGTGAAGCACTCAAGGAAGCTTATTTGCTTTTTTCCCTCTTTTTTTCTTTTTTTTGGGGACACACCCCCCCTCCCCCCCTAAAATGCTCATCTTGCTTGTAAATTTGGCTCTTCCATGTCTCACAGAATCACAGACTCACACAGACTAGCTGAGACAAGAAGGCACCTCTGGGGTTTGTCTAGTCTAACTCCCTGCTCAGAGCAGGTCCACCAGAACAAGTTGCATAGGTCTGTGTCCTGATGGTTTTTGAGTATCTCCAAAGATGGACTTTACACAGCCTCTCTGGGAAGCCTCTTCCAGTGTTTGACCTCCCCTCACAGTAGACAAACTGTTTTCTTTATGTTAAATGAAATTTCCAGTATTTCAGGTTGTGCCCATTGCCTCTTGGTGTCCTGTCACTGGATACCACTGAGGAGTGCCTGGCTCCTTCTTCTTTACTCCTCCCATCAGGTGTTTGTACACATAGATCAGATCCCTTGAGCCTTCTCTGCTCCAGGCTGAACATTCCCAGCTCTCTCAACATCTCCTTGTGTGACAGATGCTTCAGTCCCTTAATGATTTCATGGCCCTTCACTGGATTTATTCCAGTATTTTCCCTGTTTGTCTTGTACTGGAGAGACAATAACTGAACTCAGCACCTATATGTGGTGGGTCAGCTCATCAGCACCGAGCAGAGGGGTGACATGACCTCCCTTGACCTGATGGCAACGCTCTGCCTAATGCAGCCTAAGAGGTTGTTGGCCTTCTGTATTCCAAGGACACATCACTGGCTCATGGTCAACATGGTGCCCACCAGGGCCCCCAGGACCTTTTCTGCAAAGCTGCTTTCCAGCCAATTGGCTCTTAGCCTGTACTGGTGGAAGAGGTTATTCCTCCCCAGGTTCAGGACTTTGCACTTTATTAAACTTCATGAAGCTCCTGTTTGCCCATTTCTCCAGTCTGTTGAAGGCCTTCTGATGGGCAAACACAACTCTCTGGTGCACCAGCCACTCCTCCCAGTTTTGCACTGACTGCAAATTTGCTGAAGGTGCCCTCTTTCCCACTATCCAGGTGATTAATGAAGATGGTAAACAGTACTGGACCCAGGATCAACCCCTAGGGACCGGTCTCCAGCAGGACTTTGAGCGCAGCAGTCCAACCTATTTTCAATCCATCTGTCTACTTTTCTAGTCCCTATTTCATTAGTTTGTCCATGAGGATGTTATGGGGGACAGTGCTGAAAGCCTTAGTAATGTCAAGATAAACAACATCCACTGCTTTGCCCTCTTCCACCATGCTAGTCATTTCATTGTAGAAGGATCTCAGGCTGGTCAGGCGTGATTTCCATTTCATAAATTCATGCTGACTACCCCCAACCACCTTCTTGTCCATCATATGTTTGGGAATAATTTCCAGGAGGATTTGCTCAATCACATTGCTGGGGATTGAGGTAAAACTGGATCTTCTTTCCAGGCCTCTTGAAGACAAGAGTGTCATCCATGGCAGCTTCCACTCTAGTTGTGTGAGCTATCCCACCACATTTCTGTGATCCTAATGAGACTGCAGCCTTGCAACTGCATGCAGATGTCTAATTTCTCCTGTTTGTTCCCCATGCTGTGTGTATCAGCACACAGGTGCTTCGAAAAAGCACACATTTATGCTGATTTTGCAGAAAAAGTGAGAGCTTCCCCCATAATGCTGTTCCCTCAGCATTTCCTTATTTGTGTGCATAATGCAGTACAGCAAATGAAAACAGACATAATCAGACTATTTTGGAAGCTTAAAAGGGCATTATATCAATGTTATCTTGATGATAATCAAGGCCAGAGGAAATAATCACTAAAAATCAAAATAATGTCATAAAAAATGAAATTTTTAAAAAGCAAGCTGTAAAAGCCAGGTTAAATAGGTCTTTAATTGGCATGAAAGCTCGGAGGTATACAAGTCTCTACAGCTTGTTAGTCACGCGCCCCAAAAAGCATCTTCAAAAAATTTGAGAAGTCAAAAATAGAGCTTTGCTTTCTAAATGGGGTGAATGGTTCATGGTGGGATGCTTTAAGGGGTTTTAAGGAAAATTACACTTAAAGCAAACATAGGCCTTACTCCCTATTATTTCTTCTTCCCTTTTTTTCCTCCATATTCTGTCATGTCTAGGGGAATGGCCTCCAGGTTCTAAACCAGGAGTCAGCCCAGAGGCTGCCATGGCAGGGTAGGGGCAGAGCCAGGGATCCCTCACACTAAGGGAAGAACTGCTGTGGGAAATAAAAGAATAATCTGTCTTCTAAATACTTCAAAGGTGAGAGGAAGAGAACCAAGAAAGAGAATGAAAAATGCAGAAGAGAAAAGAGTTCTTTTCTCCTTTCCTTCTTCCCCACCTCCTTTTTGGCAGTGGGGAGAGGAGGTAATCATGGGAACAAACTAATAATATAGAGACAGATAAAACCCTGAGGGAAAGAAGGAGAAACCTGGAACATACTGGCTTTAAAGTCACCAGTACGGTCGTCTGTCCCCCGATACTCAGATCATTTGACTTGTCTTCTTTTTAAGCCAGACAGTGTCTCTGGCCTACACTGGAGCCTAGCACTGCCTAAAGTCTGTGTCTTCACAGCTCCCTCTCTTATCTCAGATGCCTTCAGGATGATGCAGGTGCAGTTTTTCCATTCTTTTAACCTAAACATCCAAAAGGTTTCCTGACATTGTATAGAAACAGCAGAGGAAACTCAGCTTGAAGCCTTTTATAAAATTCACCTTGAACGTAATATTCTTATGTAAATGAAAATTTACTGGATTTTCATCTTTTAAATAATTTATTGCATTAATTCCTCATTTAGACACACACATACACACATATAGCTGTGTGTTAGACACTTTTAGTCAAATTCTCAAACTGGGTAAACTGCTGTGTCATGTGAAATCAGCAGAGCTAAGCTGATTTGCAACAGATATGAATTGGCCCATTAAGTAACATATTGTCAGGGCAAACACTGGACTGGAAGTGAAATAAAAAGCAAATGCCAGTTGTTCTAACTCCAGAGCTACTGGTTCTTCTCCCCACCTCTCTGCTGCTCAACAGCACATACTTTTATGCTATTACTATTCTGCAAACCCAAGGGTCAGAATTCCTTAATTACTCACACTAGCAGGATAACTAATGTAGTATTATGAAGAGGAGATACGGTATATGTTCGTAGAAATTCAGAAAGCATTAGGATACATATGCCAATATGGATCACGCAAGACTGATGTAAACACTTAGTATAGATCTTCCTAGACATAATTCCAGCACATCAATTTAACAGAAATGTATTCACTCAGGGAAAGAAAAAGTTTTCTAAGTATTAAAACTCATATGGTCTGCATAATAAAAATGGTACGTAACTTCTTTTAAACCCAGCTTCTAAGATACACAGGCATACTGAGTATGAAGTTTAGCGTAGGCAAATATTGAATGGAAGCAAGAAATATGCATTTTATTTGAATGAAATTTTAGATTCTGAAAAGAAGAGTAGTTCTTTCACCTGGCAAGTGGTTTCTTCTGTCTTCTTTCCTTGAAGGAAATGTATTCCATCACCAATAATATTATCTTCTGTGAATTGTGACAAAAAAAGAAAACATGCTTTAAAGTGTCCTGGTTTAAGTTATTCTAAGGAATATAATTTGAATTGCACTTGATGTTTTTAGCTGACATTTTGTCTCTCTGAACTTAATCTTGTATCATTTAAGCATGAATTTTATCTCAAACTGCTTTGAAGTAAGACTACAGAACAAACTGGCAAACTGGTTCACATAAAGAAAACTCATTCATGCTTCCTTCTTCATCTCCACTTAGTCCTCAGTTTACTAACCCAGAATCCCACCAAGTGCTTCCTCTTGCCCTGCTAATTCACAGCAGAATTGTGTAGAACACTTACATAAAAAATGTAGGCCCTGGGCAAAAGTCATCTTTGCAATTGAGATCTGTTTAGTTTAGATTAGATTAGAAATTGCTTTCGAAGGATGAACATCCTCCCATTTCTTCCAAGAAATTAATGCTTTGCATGGGGAGAGTATTTACCTTCATCACAAAAATGAGCAATAAAAGGTCAAACAACTCTTTGAGAAGTTTACTTTTAGTAAGTCTACTTTGAAAGTCCTACTCCTACTCCCACTCTTAAGGCAAAGCATCCACCACTATACTACTGTAGAAAGGCCCTAGCGATTAGATTCCATCAACACAGATGTCAGAGGCATTCAGTTATTTTGCAGGAAAATCCAAAGAAAAATTATCTGCTAATCACAGCCCACAGTGCTATTCTATTTTTCCAAAGTTACTAGAAACCAGTAGGAATGTGTTGGGTTTTTTTTCTCATGAATCCTAACTTGCCTCCTTATCACTGCTGAAGAATACCTTACAATGTCAGTAGTTCTCCTGTTTGCAAAAGGACAGCTAAGTTAACATACAGATTCTCAAAGGCTAACTGTAGACAGGTGAGACTGATTGCATTGTTTTGTCGACAGTCACCAGAAAAATAAAGAATAATTCAGTGAATAATTCCAAGTGACTGAGATTCTTCAGCTATCACATGAAAAAAAGTGTTTGAACATGACCATGGGGATTTATATTTAGAGGTAAGATCCCTGTCCTCAAAATGCCTATGCTTATGTTGGAATTAAATGAAACCACAATTTGTGTAAAGCTAGCTAAAACCCCCTAAACTCATGTGAGTAAAACAATTAAAGGGCTGCAAGTTACCACACAGTTTTTCATGTTATTTTTAAAGGAAATTCTGAATCAAGAGACTTTTTTAGGTTTCTTATTTTTCCTAAAAGAAAATCCTCTGCAAACATTGTAACACAGTAACAAATACTACTCCTTATAATTTTGCAACTTGGATGCTGTAAGACTGAGTTAAATCTCACAAACTACAATCTGGGCACCAGAGAAAAAAGAGCAACACTCTTTTCATATCCTAGTTCTGCCTTGAAACCATAGGTCAGCTGCGTAGAAAACCCCGACAAACAATTTCCTTTATTTGCCATGTATGTCAACAGGAAGAGGAAAAATGAGTCACAGAAAATTTTGTTGCATGAGTTTGCCTTTGGAGGCTTCTGTAAGAGCTTCTACGATTATAAGACAGTGTCTTTCTCCTACAGACTTGATGGTTGCAATAAAACCAAAAGCTTTTTGAAAAAGTATGTTACATTCCAAAATCTAACATGACCGACCAGATTTTAAGATGTCTCAAGCACCTGCAAATCTCCTTGAAGTCACTGAGGGCCAGGTGTCTAACAATCCACTTGCGGTGCTTATGAGACACCAGTTTCATGTAACTGGGTTGCTCCTGGTCCTGGGGCTAATTTGTTTACATCTCCTGCAGGCATCTCTGCACACCGTGCCCCTGTGCTCTGTAAGGTTACTCTAAAACTTCGGTCTTGCAGTGTTCAGTCCAGTGCTCACAAGTCCTCTTAGAGTTCAGTCCAAAATATCATTGTTTGGTAGCTGTTTGCAGCTGAATCACAAAGAATTGTGGGGCAACATATAAAGATCTTAGCCTGAAAGAGTACTGACAGAGACACTGTTTTTAATGTAATTTTGGTCAAAACCAAATGGACAACAGCAAGTTATTAAAGCAAACCTTGGTGGTGTTCCCCCCTCCACCCATAATCTCTTTTGCTAGCCATAATAACATGCATCTACAGGTCTCTCAAATCTTGCTTAAATCAGCTCTCCAATCCACTGAAATAGGGAATAGGTTAAAAAAAAATATGCAAAAGATATATGTAAGCTGCAGTGTTCTTTTCTTCCTAGTGTGGCAACAGGTACCAATCACTTTTGCTGAGGAGCAGTGGAGAATTATGTCCACTGACCTTGAGAGGAGTCAGCCCTTTTCTGTTTTTCTCCATAAAACTCTACCATGGGAGTCCAATGACTGTGACTTGCATAGTCAACTTTTTCAACAATGATCCTTTTAGGCTGGCAAATCTGGTTTGGGTTTGGGCTTGTGAGCAAAGACAGGTATTCCCTCTATTGTGTCTGTGGGACATATATGTTTTTACTGCCTTATGAGTCTGTAAAACTGATTTTTGTAGAGGTTATACACACAGCAGCATTAAGGACCTAATCCAAAGGCTACCAGAATCAGCGGGTGTCTTTTCATTGACTTCAGTGAGATTTGGGTCAGGTCAGTGAATACAGCTCTGAAGTAAGCAGAGGAGTCTATGCTGGCCACCACGCATGGCTTATTATGTCTAACAGAAATTCGTATTATGCAATAGACTTGCAGACCTTGAATGATTACCTCTGTTAAGAGAAAGTTTTGATCAATAGTGACAAATTATCTTGATCAATAGTGAAACATTGTAAATCTCCTTGCAATGGTTTCCACCACTGTGTGAAGGGGACTTCCCTTCAAATAATTTTACTGCAGTGGGGGAAAGAGAGATTTTTGTTTAGCTGCCAGCTTTGCTTCCTGTTCCCTCTGGGCCTCTGCCCTTCAATTACAACACTTGTCAGCTTTTAAAATGTGCACTGCTTCTTTTGCACGCTTTGGATATTTAAAAGGGTAAAAAGAGTCTTGAGTGGAAAAGACTCTGAAGGAAGGTCAAAAAGTTCTGTTTTCTCATTCAGCCTTTTTCCACCTCCAAACTGATGACCTCTGGAGTAGTTTGAGGAATCACTCAAAAATGTTTTTGGTTAAAAGTAAGACTTTTCTGGAGAGAAATGCCTCATTTTTCTTTCACCTATCATTACAAGTGTTTCCCTTGCAAGCCAGTGAGACTCACTGAAGGTCCCTTTTTCCCTCATCAGTTCATCACAAGAGCAGAGTTCCTCTAAATTTTCCTGTCATCCCTTCTTTCTGGTTCTGGTTCCAAGAAACCCAATTTTCCCATACACATAGACCAAATACAATAGGCATTGCAATTTCAGATCTGTTTTCCAAGCATTTAAGAGTTTCTCATCAAGTGGTGAAGTGAATGAAATCCACAGGGAAAGCTGGTGCCATGTCCTGTGCTTTCTTTGGCATATCCAGGTAACAGTGAGATCTCCTAACAGTGGATAATATTTAGAACATTTTTACAGGAGATGTTAAAAGTTAAGACAACGGCCATCTTCACACTTTGTTGGCTTAAGCAAAGAACACAACACGCATCCCCTTTAATCTCACATATCTTGCTTTCTGTTTCTGCTGAGCCTTGTCTGGTTTGGTCTGATTAGGCAACTGTAACGGATATAGCTTGACTTTAAAAAGTACAAATGCGAATTCCATTCCTGGAAGCAACATTAAGCAGATTATCAAAGCATTTTGATTTTTAAAAGTCCAGTTTATGTTTAAATAGATGAGGCAACTGCTCACTTGTTATTTCTCACAGTTGTTTTAATGAATTTGTACTGATCAACTCTTAAACAGTGTCACTAGCAATTTCCCGTATGCTAGCTGTAAGGTTGTTTCAATAAAGTTGGCCAAAACAGGTTTAGATAGAGAACTGGACAAAACAGTTGCCTACAAAATTTTGCCCACTCTCTTTTGCACCTGTCACAAGAGCTTTTTTCTGGGAACTGTTTCCCTGTTGGATACCTGGAGCAGGGTAAAGTATACAGGGAACATGGATTCCTACTATAGGCTCACATTACAGTTGGCAAGCCCTATACAATATGACTATAGCAATTTACTGTAGTGGAAGTCTTCTGTGGCCTGTGGACTACAGGCTGAATTGCTCACAGAGTGTGCTCATAGCTTCCCAGTTTTAAGGTAAGCTTTATTTTTACTACTTTTTTCTTTTTTCCCTTGAGAACCAGAAAAACCTCAACAGGACTTGACAAATTATTTAGCTAGATTACTGGTGCAAAATTAGAAATTTTCCTAGTACCCTTTAAAATACTTAGTGGAAAATGCAAAATCAGCTGAAATATGTTTAGCAATTACCTTCAAGCTTACAGTGCCTTCTGATGTACGAATCATTCTCCGGCTTCCTGGAACCCTGCCAAAGTGTGCCATTCACATTTTTCCTGTCTAAAGTAAAAGCACAGAGAGCAGTCACCTGAATTCATAGCAAACCTGTGAAATAACAGGAAAGTCTATAAAAATAGCATCAGAATGCAAATCAGACAAGCTTGCAGAACACTGCACTGTCTGCTCAACCACAAAAATGAATTGATGATTTCACAATATAGGAAATTTGATGAAAGGACAGTATTTATTGTAGGCAGACCAAGTTTTATCATCTTTTGCTGCTGTCTAATATCTCATTTAACACTGTTTAAACATGATCAGGGTGATTGTTATCTTAACCCTGGTTTTAAGGCCTAGGAGCCCACAACACATCTGTGCCTTTATTTTGCTTCCAGGAATTGTATAAATATTATTTAATCTTACATCTAACTAGCAAGTGTATTAGCAAGAAATATCATCAGAGATGCCTACTTCTATGTTACACATGCTCCAGGGTGAGTACTGTCTTATCTTGAATGGGAGAACCTAGACTGGCTTTGAGAATCGTAGAATCACAGAATGCTTTGGGTTGGAAGGGACCCCTAGAGGTCATCTAGCCCAACCCCCCTGCAGTGACAGGTACATCTTTTACTAGATCAGGTTGCTCAGAGCCCCAGCCAACCTGGTCTTGAATGTTTCTAGGGATGGAGCCTCCACTACCTCTCTAGGCAACCTGTTCCAGTGTTTCGTATTCTCTTTGTAAAAGATTTCTTCCTTATATCCAGTCTAAACCTGGTTTAGTTTAAAGCCATTACCCCTTGTCCTGTCACAGCAGGCCTTACTAAAAAGATTTTCCCCATATTTCCTACAGGCTCCCTTTAAGTACTGAAAGGCCACAATAAGGTCTCCCCGCAGCCTTCTCTTCTCCAGGCTGCACAAGCTCAGCCTGTCCTCACAGGAGAGGTGCTCCAGCCCTCGGATCATTTTAGTAGCCCTCCTCTGGACCCGTTCCAACAGTTCCATGTCCTTCTTGTGCTGAGGGCTCCAGAGCTGGACGCAGAATGAGATGGCCATTTTCCTTTTCTCACAGTGAACTTCAAAGCATCCATGCTTCACAGCATATTGATAACTATTAAGGTTTTGTGCTTTCTGAGGCTTTTTTTGTTTGTTTGTTTGTTTGTTTTTTTAATGTTAAGTTTCACTCTATGTCACAAAATTTTCTTTATGAAAGCACTTGTCGATTCTGTCAAGTGCTGGGAATTCATTACAGCCTGGATACTGTAGACCAAATGATACTGTTCTGCATGAAATTCAGCTATCTGAGACACATTGGTATGAAATATAGCTGCATCGTTACAGACAGCTTTAATAACCTTCTTACTCTGTAAGGGCTAGCTACAACAACTAAACCCAGACTCCAGAGAATAAATAATAGAATGTTAACAGGAAGCGCTCACTGAAAAAATAGTAATTTTTACTTTTTAAGAAACTGGTGATTATTTCTTACAGAGGATTTACAAAATGGAACCTATTGAATCACAAGTGTTGATAATAATAGGCAGTGTCAGGATGAGTTGAAAAAAAAACACCCCTGATTTTCTTCTTTCATGAACTTGTTTGTGAAAGCTGAAGCAAAGTAGTTTAGCATGGGAATGGGCAGGGATGGAATTTGATTAGATCAGAGACATTTCAATTTTTTATGGAAATGATTAAAAGAAACACTGGACATGCTGAGTATTTCTCATATTGTCCCACAATAGGTTCTTTAAATCTCACTTTGGTTTCTATGTTTAACTAGTTTGTTTTTAATATCTACCTACAAATGTGTCTGTGGAAAGTGGGGAGGGAAGGGACTATATTGATAGCTTAACTGTATTTTTTCCTTTCCTTTGCATTTGCTCCAACAGCTGTAAAGCAAATCAGACCCTTAATTAAAGTTGGCTCTGTGAGATTAGCAAGTATACAGTAAATTATTTAAGCAGTTACTAACCAAATGCTTCATTTTCAGACATGGACTTCTGGATGGATCTAAAAGAATTAAAAGAATTTGCCATTAGCTGAAAGTCAGAATAAAAACCGAAAGCACATTTAATCAAATATGGATATTTTCAACCTAATTCTTCAAAGCAGGGCACAGGGATTTAGCTGTGCAATTCCCACTGGCTTTAATTGGAGTTACTTGGCTTTTCTCATTCACCCAATCATCTACTCCCACATGCCACACAAAGCTCTGAAAGCTTCTGAATTTTCATCCTGTAAAAATATGTTATTCGAGTTTCTTTTTGGAATGAAGAATTCATGACTGAACCGGGGAGCCCATCAGGAAGAAAATAAGAGGTGCTTTTCCTTAGAAATGATCTGAAGTGTCCTACAACTTTTAGAAATTAGTGTCTGAAGTTTGACGATGTAATAATGGAGTTACATGAACATACCATCCCCACCATCTTGACTGACATTTTATTGCCCAAATAAACCTTCAGCTTTTTGCACATTTACATCAAGGAATAGTCCTAACTCACGCTTCCATCTGTGGCCAGTGGTTTATAGATGATGACTTAAAGAATATATTAATTTAACAGAAGAAGAAGAAATCTTTAACAAAGGTTGACACTGTGAATTAATTTATTTGTTTCGCTTTATCCATAAAACCCCAATGGATAGTCATTTATGAGCTAGAGGATGAAGCCAGAAGATTATACTAGATGAGACCAGAAACTCTCTAATCTGTGGCAATGACCAGAAGAAGCGAAAGAGCACAAAAATTGAGCTCCAACTCCCAACTTCAGGCACATAGGTGTTGAAGGGTTTCCTGAGCAAGAAGGTGCAACTGAACTATTGTTTTTTTAAGGACTGGTCTGTAAGCACTAGTTCCTTTTGAAACCACTTGGATTTTTTTTTTTGCTTCCAGAGTTCCACAATTTAATTCTTACTGTCTAAAGAAGGCGTAATTCTGTTTATTTTATTTCTGCTCCTCTATTTCATTTGGTGCTTCCTTGTTGCCCCATTGTAAGAAAAAGAGAATGATAATTCCTCATTCTTTTTCTCTGTATCTACAGAAAAGGCCAATATGAAAATTTCTGCATTATCAGTGGGGGTATCATGCCAGGATAGCAATGGCTGGACATTCAAACCAGAATAATTTTCATTACAAAATATTTTCATGTTGAGTGAAATTATTTTCAACCAGCTTACTAATTTTTTATATTGATTAGTCCAATGATCTAGACAATGCTTCTAAATTCTGATAATTCATTACTAATTTTTTATATTGATTAGTCCAATGATCAATGCTTCTAAATTCTGATAATTCGATTAGAATGGGATTGGGCTTAGAATAGAAGAGTTTTATTTGCTTTGTAAGAGTTGACACTGTAGCTATAGACTACTATTTCTATTCCTGGGGCACACTTAGTTCTGATCTAAGCAGGAGACTCTTAGGCAGCTAGGTGATTGTATCATAGTTAATAGAGCTTAGTACAGTAAAACTTGGGTACGGCCTACACAGTAGTTTGGCTTTCTTAATCAAACAATAAGAAAACTGAATAATAGAGCTATGCCCATCGCAGTTATGGGAACATTTTCACAGGGCCCTGGCTGGTCACAGATAACAATAGATCTCACAGCTCTGAGGGCATACATCTCTGCGTTTGCAGTTGATAAGTTACAGACATTTTTATCAGATGACCAGAAATAGATTAAAACTGTTACTTAAGACAAAGAAGCTCTTGATTTTCTTTGAAATCTTTATCTACTTTGAAATTTCTCAGCAATAGACATAGATAACATTGATGTTCTGAATTTAGCAAAGCCCACCTAAAAATGAAAAAATAAACAAACAAACAAAAATATGTCCAGGGATTTTCATGTCTGTCACAGCCAGACAGATAAGATATGTCTCTATCATTCCATTAGGCAGGATTTCAGATTTCATCTGAAGGGGACCACTTCAGTAATTCTTAGCCTTCAACCTGAAGCCAAAAAAGAATTTTCAAAATAAATTCCTTTGCTTACTAATATATATTAATCATTAGCCCAAACCATAGCATTGTGGCTTAGCGAATGGATGCAAAGCATGCTGCTGTCACAAATATACTTGATAAAATACAGCCTGACATGCCTTATCTGAATCATTTTGCAAACTAATTTTTCACTTGGATTAAAAACACAAACAAAAAACTCTTTAGGAGATTATCAGGTCAATGGTGCAAACGTGCTATAAAATAGGTTACCACTTCAATCTTTCAGAAAAGCAGACATATGGTTAAACCAAGCTCAGATTAACTGCATTTGATTTTAGCCATCCTGGTTCTGATGTTTTGGAAGAAATCTTTATGTGTATGAAAAAATCATGGCAAAAGAGCTTTAGTAATGCATTACAAGCTTGTTACTGGCTTTCCAACTGCAACATTAATACATATACTCTATGAGAGTTAAAGAACATTGGCAAACATTAATAAAACAACAAGGGTGAAAGGTACAGACAAATATAGTGACACTGTGCAGACCTCAAACTGGTCTCAACTTACTTTCTTTTTTTGGTCACTGTGTTCTCAAAGTCAGGAAATTCCTTTTAAAAAGATAGAGAAAAAAGTCTATGAAAATCAAAAATATTTAATCCAAATATAGTATTTTCCTCACTGCAAAGACACTGAATGATGGATTTTTGATGCATGTTTTTAATATCCACTAACATTTTCAGCCTTTCTTTTTCCAACAGCTGAAGCTGTGGAGGACACAGTGCAGCATAGAATACATGTAGTTTTTTGTCCTGATTTTAGGAGGCTTCAATGTCCATGTCTCCCAAGAAGCTGACAACCATAATACCCCTGAAAAACCAGAGAACAAGACTCTTAACCCAAGAATGAATATTATCTTACTTCCATAGTATGATTCTTTTAAATTTGATGAGGATAAAATACCCACAAGTAATAATGGGATGTGGCTTTCTGAGGGACACAGAAGGACAGGGACTCTTTAACCCCATTACATGCAGAGGAATGTGGAAGAGAGCAGGAAACTCCAAGTAAAATTCAAAGTTGTGCAAGTCAGTCTGGCAAAGCTCTTACAGGCACCAAATCAGAATCAAGCACTGGCCTGGAGGCAAGATCACACAGCCCCCAGGGCCCAGGTGACATGTACCTTGATGAGATGTGGGAGGGAAGAGAAGAGGTATGTAGGTGATGAGTGAACAAAAGGGTGCCTCAGTCTGCAAGTGATGCCAAAACATCTCACTGCATCTTTGCTGTTGCAGTTACCCTGGCACTTGAAGTTAATTTTAACTTCAGAAAACCTGAGGATGTCATGCTAGGACAGAAAAGACCTCTCATCCCTATACTATTTTGATATCTACTGAGACAGAATATCAAAGTGCTGTATCACTTTCATATCTATTTCTTCCAGCCTGGAAAGCAGAAACTGGGATAAAAATGTCCATGATGAATGCCACTTCAACCTGCTGTGCAACGAGAGACATTAAAAAAAAATAACCATTCATTATTTTATAAATATGAAAACCTCAGTGTACAGACCTATTTCTCATATTCTTATGTTTAATTTATTTCCTTTGTGTAATGCTATCTACATCTGCATGGCTCTGACCACAGTAATTTAAAAATGTCATCCAGGTTGCATGATGAAAAGCCAAAACATGTACTACATAAAATGATGTAAATGCATAATTGAGCATTTCATATTTTTCTGCTCCTCTCAGTAAAACCCAGCATAGATTTTTTTTTTTTTTTTAAAGCTTCTTCAGGAGAGTGCATTAAGAAAAGGCTGCTTTACTGCACTGAGGTTATTTTAGCTGAGTGTAGGAGGCACCTGGACATTTGTGAATGCTAATAATTGTACGCAGTTTCCACAGAACTTTTTTTTTGCATGTGTAGATTTGTTCACAGATGCTGTGTGTAGATCAAAAGAATATACGAATTTATCATCTACTTTGAACTACTGCAAGCAATGTAAGATAAATTTCTTGCTGAAAAGAAATCCAGCATTTTAGTCTCGGGACAAATCTTCAATAGCTCTAAAGAAATGCCTAGGTGAGGTGCACAGGCACACAGAGAAGCTGAAAAATGTTGAAAAAGTGATTTTTAAGGCTCTTTTAAAAGGGTAGTGTCAACATCTCAAATATTTTATTTCAGAGGCTTGTTAAAGGAAGCATTATGCATGGAGATCAGTTAGAATCTGTATATGATCCCAGGAAAAAATCAGAGACAGCCCTCTCTGAACCTCAGTGTGGCCATACACCTGGAAAGACCATTAATTCATATCTTCACATGCCAAACACCTGGTGTGGAACATGAAGCACAGAATTGTAGGTTTAATCTTTCGCTCCATGATTTGAAACCATTGCTTCAGCATCAGTTTCTTAAAATCCAGCAAAAGATGCATGTATGGCATTACAGTATACACTGAGGTGATAGTGATGTGAATTCACTGGATATCATGGGATGCAGTGCCACAATGAAAGGTGACAGTGGGCTTAAATGGCTATTTAAAAATGGCACCTTTTATTCGACACAGCTCTTTCTGCTATGCCTGAAGCAGCTGGCTAAATTGGGGTACAAGAATATATTACTCTTGTTTGTACGTCTTTTTTCTAAGTATCTTTTCAGTATTTGACTACACTTAAAATCATGTGCAACTTTAATCTGAAACTAGAAATTTAGCACATTTAAAAACATGTTTTATCTTAGAATGTAAATTAAGATTCATCTAGACTCTACTCTCCACATTCTCTGAAGTGCATAATTGCCTTGCTTATAGGAACTGGTTTTCCTTCCCCATCCCAAATATGAACAATCTCTTTCCTAAAAACAAACTGCACATGTGGAAACTCAGCATTATAAAATCATTAATAAACTGCTTTCCTCTCTACTTTTATCTAATAACTCCAAATGAAAGAACTGAATGCGTTCCTCTGGTGTTTACAGGCTGGCTGGGAAAGCTACAGCTCCTGTGCCTGTTAAGACAGGAGTCTGTTAAGACTTGCAGACAGGGAAATGTTCATTTCAGATAACTACCCCTCTTCTTTCCCTCACTGGAATAAAATGCCAATTATAACACTGCAGATCAAAGCAGGTATCATGACTGATTGTGATTTTCCTGGCAATAACTTAGAAAGACTGATAAATTATTTGGCACTTTTCTGATATACAGTGTAGTCGATCATATCACAGTCAGCAGTTGAAAAATATGTGGATCTCATGACATTTGGTGATTGCAATCTGACAGGAAATATATGAAAATAGTTTTAACACTGAAGACTTTTTCTGAGAAGCTTAAGACAGCTCATGAGGTAGAAGACTGTAACACTAAGCTACAAGAGGTAGAGATTCAGTTTCCCAGTTAATAGCATAGTTAAGGCAAAGACCACCCATATGATTCATTACTGTTGCCTACCAACTCTTTCTGAGGAAGATCCGATTCAGCTTTGCTACATATAAGGTTCAAAAACAATCCAAAAATCTATTTTTGTTCTTTCTGTCTGAGAATATGACTGAAGCTGAGCAACAGGCGAAGTAACCAAAAAGTCAATGGGCCAATTCCCTGAGAGGATTAAAATCAAAAGGCAAGTATGTATAACGGGCACAAGACGGTACCATACGAACCCGGAGTGGGAACATCCCAGGCAAAACATTTTGTATACTAAGCAGGTCTTCTAAGTTATGTGAAGGAGAAGAACAGTGTACTCAAAAGAGAGATTATTCTTCATCCAGGGTGTGTCATTTGGGCAGATATTTGGCCAGGAGCAGAAATAATCACAGTTCAAAGAGGTGCCCAAAGAGTATGTTCACTGAATTATGTCCCGCGCAGCTTCAGGGACCACAGTACTCTATATTACCCATGTCTCCAGAAGAATGTCACAGCCCAGCTATGATTAGGACAAATCACAACAGACAAGATAACTGCAAGAAAATAACTACTTTGCTGCAGTACAAGGAAAAATTTCCTCTAGCACTAGCCTCCCTTTTTTAAGTTGAGGGGAGCAGAGCTTGAGCACCTGCCCTGTTGATTTCCGAAGTTGTATAGAAAAAAGGAAGGGGGAAAAGCCTCCTGAGGAGGAAATGTGCTGTGCCAGGCTGCTCCATCCCGAGGAAATTTAACAGCTCTGTGGAATCTGCATGGCCATGGTTCAGCCGACCGTTTAAACATACACTCGAGCCCATACCTACTTAGCAGTGCACTTAAGTCTGTGCATTACTGAATAATGATAAATGACTGAATCAGGGCCTGAGGGAGCCAATAATGTTCTGAATTTATCATGGTATGGGGGCCACCCTCCAGCCTGGAACCAAGTGACGGAATTAAAAATGGGAAAGAAGTACAAATGGGCTCAGTTAATAAGCTTAACGGCTTCATCCAAGGTGTAGGTCTAATAACTCACATGCTAGAAATAGCAGATAAGATTACACATAGTCCTTTGGCCTTAGCGGCATTTTTCCATAGGTCTTACTGCTGACACGTTATCACTAATCTTGTTTTCCATTTCTAGAGAGTATTTTATAAATAATCATGTTGATTCTACAGCCAGTACAGTGACACAGCATCCAGACATTATTTTTAGTTAAGTGCTGAGCTGAATATTCTCTCAAAACAGAACAAAATAAAACCCACAGCCAGTCTCAGGAAGCTTCTTGTTAATATCGAGTGAGCCAACAGTTTGCTTACCCATGTACCGTTACTGTTATTGATGATGACATTTAAATTTAGTGATGAATAAATGTGCCATCACTAAAATATTTTCTTTAGGAAGACAGAAATGTATGATAAGAGTTAGCAGAAACCAAAGTGTTAGATTTTTCTGTTCATTGCAGTGCACATATCTTCATGGAGTATGCAGTGCCATCCCACAAAAACAGCATGGAGCAGTCTGAAAAACCTTTCGCTACAATTTGTTCGGATTAACGTACAGGATTTTCTAATCCTACACTAGTATCTGCTTCTCTAGGCTGTCTCAATGAAAATAAAGCTCTGTATTGAGTAGGTTGATTGCTTTTATTTAACTGAAAAATTTATGAAGCCTAACTCTACACTACTATAATGAAGAGCCTGAAGTAATGCTGTCAAAGCAGAAAACAGAACAAAACAAGGAAAAGCAAGAAACAAAAAGCCTGAGGTAAACTATTGCTGCACTTTTAATTCTTAGTCTTACACATTGTGAAAACCTGATGCAGAGCACAGTGCAAGGGATGTGTCTCTACCACACCTTGAGAAGATAAAGGATAATTTCTAGTAGTTATCTATTGCAAAGTATATTAGGAGGTCATATGTCACAAGCTGGGCACAAACGAGAAAACAAATCTACTTTCAGTTTCCGGTTTACTTTTCCTAAATGCTGTTCCTAGCAGATATACATCTATCAGACAAAGAAATATTTGTAGAGCTGTCATTAACTGTTATGTTGGTTTGCAGTCACAGAAAGGGGAGGAAGACTGAGCAGCTATAGGACCTGAACTGTAATGCCTACCTTTGCTAGCAGAATGGCATGTTTCAACATGGCTGTATAACGCAGCCCTAGCCAAACATCTAGAGCTTCGCCCAACTGAAATACTGCAGGCCTACTAGGATCAGGTTACAGCCATATTTCACAACCATGATTAAACACACTTAGCTGGAACAGAGTAGAGGTGGCTCAATTTTATAATAACAAGGTCACAATCTGATAATGGGGAGAAACCTATCACACGGGAGAGCATCTACCACCTACTACAGTAAAATTATAATGCAGGCACATTTCAGAGCCCAGGCTAATAGATCTGTGCTAATGCTATGAGGAATCATCTTGAGACCTCTGCACTGCTACGCTCTCAAAACCAGGACCATTATATAAAGCACCAAGGTGATTATCTGGAAGAGAGAGACATGCACAGAGTCAGATGGTTGCAGCAGAAGGGTCTGAGAAGAACAAGTTATTTCCATTCCTCCAGGAATTTGACAAGTGCATGCCACAATTCCCCAGCCATTCGACTATCCCACCAGCTCCAGCACTCCCTCCACGCAAATCCTGTGTGCAAACCTGCTCTGTGATATTGCAACACCATAGGCCCAGCAGTCTTACAGGTACCCAGTACCTAACCCAGGGCGCACATGGGTAAAGCCTGGCATGATTTCTGAAGGGAGGACAGTCTCTCTTCTTTGAATAATGAACATCCTTGTTTTCTCTTTATTCCTTCACCAGACTGCATCATATGTTGCTATAGATAGAGGTAGTAATTATAAATGAAGGAGCATTGTAAAGCAGAGAACAGAGATTATGAAACGAAAAAGATTATGAAATGTAATATACTATGTTAAAGTACTTGTCAAAGCCTCAATGATATATGATACCAATAACATACCAATAATAAAGGATTAAGTAGGGTAACATTATTTAGGAAGAAAAGAACCCCGAAGACAACCTCCTTCACATGTTTACCTAATGAGGTCTTGTAAAATGTAAAGGTTATTCCAGAGACCATCAGTTACAAAATTCCTGCACACACGCTTTAGAAATGTAAATTTTTTGTTAATAAAAAGGACAGCCAAATACACCAATAGTATAACCTGTACAGTACTAATATCTGTACCCAGCATTTTCATATGATATTACTTGCAAAGAGAAATTCCCTCATACAGTGAAGCTGCACTAATCTCACTTTGCTGCTAGCTGTATAGAAACTCATGACCTGTTTTTCAAGTGTGCTTGTTAAGGCTGGACAGAAATCAGGTCATTGGCTACAAAGATGAGATTTGAACAGTAGCTCTAAGGAGCCTACACAGTTCAAACTGTTGATTAAGCCAGCTGAACGCACATGTGCCCGCATACAGAATAACAGGTTTTTGCAAAATACACTGCTTACTTAGCAATTAAATTTTACTTACCAAAGACATAGACCTATCAGGTGGCCCGCAGTTTACATGCATGCTCACTGGAGTGCTAGCCCAGCTGTCAGTAGGAGTTGTATCCTTGGGTTCTTGACGTTCTGGGACAGGCTCATACAAGCTGTCCATTGAGCCCTCCTAAAATATATTTAAACAGTTTTTCAAAGATAAACACTTGTAAACACATTAAATAATAGTAATCAAAAAATCAAGCAGTTCCTGTTGTTTACAAAATAGAAAGAGTGATTCTTCTCCTCCCCCCATATTTTGAAATCCTTTACTTACTTCTTTCTCTAAAAAGCATACAGAAATTAATTATTGTAAGTACCCAAATGCTGGAGTTCACAGTATCACGGCTTAGATTCCAGAGACTGGCAGGAATAAAGCTGAGCATACAGCAAAAATGAACATTAACTGCTCAGAATGAGTAAAATCAGGTGTATATCTCCACCGAAATACCACATGAAAAATTCTGTGAAAACTATGAAAACTATAAACCATGAAAAGATCTATATGAACTATAAAAATGTTTTATAGTTAGTACTTCTTCCTGGGAAAAAGTTGATTTGATGTAGAAAGGTAATCCTATTCCTTAGAAATAAGTGGCAACAATGCTTCCAGCTCTCAGAATTTGAGAGTCATGATTTAGGCCACCAAAATGGTGAGAATGGACAGAATTAGAAACAAATTACATTTGCATTCAAAATCTTTAACTCTATATTATAATGCACATGTAAGGGTTCTTTCCCTCCAACCACCAAGAATATAACTGTTTTAACAGAAACTAAGATTTTCACATTTATCCCACAACTCCAAGAGCCAGGATTACACATACACACCACCATTCCATAATTCAAGAGTTAAATGAAAGCAGATGGTAAAACTAAAGACACTGTAACTAATGATCCTAGATTTTAGATGTTGCCACTTTGATCTGTACTGAATATTTTTCCAATTAATTTTGATTACTGATTTTAACTGCATTAATTAAGGAATGAATCAAATTTATAGCAATGTGACTTTCAGCAGAGCAACACCATTGAAATTAATGTGGTATATTATTATTTAAAAGCATTTGTTCCTCTAGTACAGAAGATAAACACAGATGTATATGTGAAGTTATATTGTTGATACGTAGAGCTTTGCAGGCAATATAATTGACTGGTGAAACAGCAGTTCAAAGACGTGACTAGTTTTTGCAACCACAATGTTTATCTATGGATCTGTATTTGCATCAGTCTACTGGAGTCTTGATAAGCCAAGATAAATGTTGTGGGAGAAATATTAGAAGTTGAACCTCTTGAAAACACTTGCGTTACATACTGGAAGTTATTCTAGGAACCAGGGAGTTAATGCTTCCTGGGAAAGCGGCACATGGCTTGCAAAGCACACTGCACATGGCTTGTGCTCCTCACAGCCAGCTGATCCTGGGTTTTGACACCAACTGCATTTCTTCATAAGAAATTTTTTTTTTCTTACTGTAACTACGTTGCCATATAGCAATGATGGTTCAGGCTCCTGGTCTGAAGTTGTGGATTGAGAATTTCTAGACAAAAATGATGAGTTTAACACCGTGTTACACAATTCCAGGATTCTGCAATATAAAATGTAACAATATACTTCTCCCTCAATAGGGAATAATACAGAATTTTGGTGAAGAGAGTATTAAGAGATGGAAGCATAAAAGAGAGCTCGTGAAAGAGAGGGTGTGAGAGGGAGAAAAGGAGATGGGAAAAGAGATGGTGAGAAAAAGTGAATGGAGAGAGAGAGGAGAGGAAGTGAGAGGAGGGGGTAATAAAAAAGAGAAAGAAAAGAACAAAAACTGTGGGGAAAGGGAAGGAAGGGAAGAAATGAGCAAGAATGGGAGAGAGGAAAGAGATGGGGAGAGAGAAGGAAAGTGGAGAGACAACGAGAGAGAAACGGGGAGAGAGCATAAGGGGAAGCATGTGAGAATGAGTGCTTAGGAAAGGAAGAGAGGGAGAATGTGAGAAAGAGCTGAAACACGAGAAAGCTCATGTGACGAAGATGGAGCACAAGGGTGCGAGAAAGAGCAGGTGTGTAAGAAGAAGCAGGGATACGGAAAAAGAGCAAGTGCACACGAGAAAGTGAGAGTATGAGGAATAGGAAGTGCATGGAAAAAAGTGAGGGCATGAAAAAGGATGAATGCAAGAAGTGCACCACATGAGAAAGCACGAGTGCACACGAGAAAGAACACAAGAAAAAGCGAGTGCACAAGGAAGAGCAAGCAACAAGGAAGAGCAAGCACACAGATGAGAGAGCGAGTGAAGAAGAGAAAAAGAGAGATGAGATAGGAAGGAGGAGGGGGAGAATGCATGAGAGAAAGTGTGAGAACAAGAGTGAGAGAAAGCAAGAAAGAATGCATGAAAAAGAGATCTCAAATGAGAAAGCTCACCTGGGGAAGAGTGAGCATAAGGGTACAGGAAAGGTTGTGAGTGCATGAGGAAGTGTGCATGAATGTGTGTGAGAGTAAATGGATGAGAAATAGGGAGTGTGTGTGAGGGAGAGCCAGGGAATAAGAACGAGAGAGGGCATGAGAAAGAGGTAGGGCGCCAAAAAGACTGAGGGAACGGAAAGGGGCAAGGGTGCAAGAAAGGG